TTCCCTGACTGAAACTGAAAGTAAATATGAATAATACAGCCTTATTATAACTTATTTAGTTATAACCAACTACATATAATGAGAGGAGGAAGCGGCCGGGTAGGAGAAACGCGGGTTTTATGTGCGACCGTTCTAACCGTCTCAAAAGAGAGAACGCGCGAGCTTGCGCTGGTTTAAAAAAAAGGCATCCAAAGAAAAGAGGTTGCACGTTGTGTTCTTTGTTATTATGCGTCTAATTGCAAACTGTTGTGTGTATCGTATGTTTATACAGCCGTAAGTTAGTCTGCCTTAGTGGGCGTCATGGTGTCTTAGCTGTAGAGGAGCAATTTAGCCAGTGCGGTAAAACCGCAAACCTGGGGTCTTTAACGTGCACCACGCAGTAGTGATACACGACCGCACGCCGGTACGATGCTCTTCCAGATCGAAACGGGCAGGGGCGGGGTGGGTTCTGCAGCGCGGGGTTTCGCTCCACGTGCTCCAAGCTGGTGTGCGCTAGACCATGCACTCGGTCACCGACCCCCCCCCCCCCCCCCCTTGTGCGTCTAATTTATATACAGGTATAAGTATTTGAAGATACACGATGGACGTCGATCGTCTCGAGGTAATGTAACGTAATAACATTATATAAATAATAAACTTGTTGAAGGACTGAACGACTGAATTTTTCAATTCTTGGACAGTAATATGGCGGTAGCCTTATGTACTTACTGTTGATGAAGAGCAATATGAGGTGACGAGGTAACAATTAAATGATGAGGCTCTATAAGGACGACAACATTAGTGGGTGTCGAACCACAACGTACAGTGCCAGACTTGTTTCAAGTATCGTGTACCCAAAGACTTTCCTCACCCGCAACAGAATACGGTAGAATCAATGAGGATGCTGCTTTACAGCTGTACGTGGAACAGGAAAACTGCACTGTGCAGAAGTGCGACTTATTCGTTAATATGGGGGACGGATTTCTAGCAGCACTCCCTGATTGACTACTTGGAACAAATGGCCTCGTTGACGTAAAGTGTCCCCGTTCCAAAAGATTCTTGAAGCATACTTAAACCGCAAAGGAGTATGAGGCGAAAAATAAGAAAAAGGAGCCTGGTGTGAAAGGTCCAAATCACCACCATTGCTTCTAATATCAAATACAAGGGCAGTTACACAATACACAAAGAGAGTTTTGTGATTTAGTTATATTTACACTCAAGGGCATTGATATCCATTGTATTCAGAGGGATGAGACCTTTTGGTCAACCGACATTGAGCCTTTTCCACTCAAGTTTTACATGGAAGGCCCGACTTCCGCAGAAATTCCTCACGTAGACGAGTTGTCCGACCGAATAAACTGCCATTACTCCCGAACTGGGAATCTCTCGATCTTCGTTCGTAGGCTCATAGTATCAGCGGAAAACAAACAGCGCAAGGACAAGGACAGAGTAGAAGGCGGTAGACAGACACAGCGCTGTCTTACAACTGAGCTTTATTGGCACTGACAACCTGTATAAATACACAATTTGCCCGGCCCAAAAGCCAAGAAAAGAAACACAAGAGGAGGACTACACGTGTTCCTCGAGTCATCTGCAGGCGCCGATGCTCTCCGATCTGAGTAGAAAAATACACTCCTTTACCGTCAAGGCAAGTGACGGGGCACTAACACACTCAGAGCCCGATTGTCCAATGGCGCGGGCTTCTATAATCTCACGTGTCAGTTTATCTTTTTGTTTTCTGATGACCGCGCATCGTTCAAAAAACGGAGTACATCCGCAATCGCGGCAATGCACCCCAAGGTGCCCCGACACAACCTGAGACACATTATAACGATGCTCTCTTAAACGCTCATTAAGACAACGTCCTGTCTGCCCTATGTATCTCCGGCCGCAGGACAGGGGAATCGAGTATACAACACCCGCAACGCATGTAACAAACTGGCTTTGGTGTTTCTTGGTGCACACCTGTCTCTCTATTACATGAGAGTTCACTCTTATGCACATCATAGATAGCTTGTCTGGAGCCGAAAAGACCACGTGAACACCAGCTCGACGTCCCACTTTTTTCAGATTATGGGATATTTTGTGTAGGTACGGTAGTACTGTGATGTTCCTGTTTTTCCTGTTAACTTGTTCAGCATTCTCAATCCGTCTTCTCTTTAGTAGAGTTTCTGCCACTGCCGTTAAGAGGCGCAACGGGTAGCCCGCGGCCGTGAGCCTCGCTGCTTGATTCTTAAAGCTATCCTTGACTAAGTGAAAGCAGGATTTATTAAGGGCGTTCTTAAAGCAAATGTTGATGATTCCCCTTTTTATCAGTTTAGAGTGGGCAGACGAAAACGACAGGAGGGGTTTATTACTCCTTGGTTCATAAAGCCAGCAGGTGTGTGTGGGGAGACACTGCAGCCTAAGGTCTAAAAATCTTATGGAACCGTTTACTGGTAATTCGTGCGTGATAACCAGTGGTTCTAAGCATTTACTAAAAGTGGCCAAAACCTCAGAAATTTCGCCAGCAAAGTGGTCTGAGTCACAGTCAACAAGCACTAAGTAGTCATCTACAAACCTAAAAACCTTTTTTACCCTAGAGCCTTCAAGTTTATTAGATAAAATTTTGTCAAAAAATGCCAGATAAATGTTGCTCAACACGGGAGCTAAACAGGAACCGATGCATATGCCGTTTTTCTGAATAAAAGTTTCTCCATTTTAAGTTGTAAACGTCGACTTGAGGTAAAAGGTTAAAAGCTCCAAGAAGTCTCTTACCCCCAGACTGTAGTGAGGACATCTGGCAATAGATGGCACCACATGTGTTGTGCTGCGGGATTACCGGAAGCGGAGCTTCTTCCGGTTGTTGATTTAAGATTAAAGACACTTTTTGGCGAGCTGTCACACGGGTTGGTTAATTCTGTTTCCTTCTGCCTGGCGACCATGTGGTCGCACTCGGACGCCCACGGTCACAACATGGTGTCAGAAGTGGCCGGCCTCCCGGTCTGACGTCCTCCTCCTGCTGCTGCTATCACTGCTATCCTCACAGCCAGCCCTGCCTCTCGTCGTCTCCGCGTCGCACGCTGCTACGCTTTCCGTCTTCTCGTCACCGTCGCTGCGTTCCTCGTCATGTCGCAGGAGAGAATAACGGAAGCTGCCGCCGCCACCGCCCCCGTCGTCTCACTCCCGAGCTTGGTTCCACCGCCCAAATTCGACTTCGCAAACCCCGACAAGTGGCCGCAATGGCTTCTACAATTCGAAGACTTCAGCTTTGCGTCAGGCCTCTACCAAGCGTCGGACGAAGTTCAGGTGCGGACGTTACTGTACACTATGGGATCCGAAGAGGCGCGGCGTGTTCTTGAGACGTTAGGCCTCACCGCAGAGGAATGGCGGTCCTTCGCTGCGGTAACAGACAAGTTCAAGGCGCACTTCGTGCATCCACCGAACGAAGCGTACGAGAGCGTGCTTTTTCACCGGCGGGTCCAGGAACGAGGGGGAACCGTCGACAGTTTTTACACGGCCCTTCGAGCACTCGTCCGCAAGTGGAACTATCCGTCCACAGAGGTCGAAGACAGGCTCGTTAGAGACCGCTTCGTCGTAGGACTTCTCGACTCGAGACTCTCTGACAAGCTGTGCCGCTGTCCGACCCTCACCATGGCCGAGGCCCGGCTACAAGCACGCATCCACGAAGACGCCGTCAAGGCGCGGGCGACCGTTTTTCGTGACGAGACAGCTGCCGTCGCACCTGAGCAGCTCAAGCTGGATGAAGCACGTGTGAAGAAAGGAAGGAAACCGGCCCCCAAGACGTCTCCCAAGCGAGACTCGGCGTCGTCGCAGAGAGAAGGCAGCAAGAACTGCAGATTCTGCGGCCGTCAAGCGCACCCCCGCCACGAGTGCCCGGCTAGACAAGCCAAGTGTCACTACTGTCGACGCCTGGGTCACTTCGAAGATGTCTGCGAGAAGCGAAAACGAAGTTTGAGCACTGTTCATCTACATGCCGTTTCGACCGCGGGCCGAGCGAAGTTTGTCAAGGTCGCCGTCAACGGGTACGACGTCGACTTCAAAATGGACTCCGGAGCCGAAGTCACGGTGGTGCCAAACACGTTTCCCGGAGCACCTCGCAGTCTCCAAGAGCCTGAAGGGCAACTCACTGGACCGGGCAATCACCCATTGACAGTTCTCGGTACCTTCCAAGCCACATTGACTTGGAAAGGCAAGTCGGTAGTGGAGCGGGTTTACGTCCTGCCGTCGCAAGACCCGCCTCTTTTGGGGTTTCCTGCCATTCAGAAGCTGGGTGTCGTGAAGTTCGTTGACGCCCTCTCCAGTCTCAACCAGCAGAGCCCTCTTCACAGCGACATCTTCGAAGGGTTGGGTGAGCTGAAGGACGAGTATGTGATTCGACTCCAGCCAGGGAAGTACTCAGTTTCTGCAGCTTGCATGTTTATTCGATGATGCCAAGAATACAACAAACCCGTAGGCACACTCATGGCTGCTTTTATACTGATAGCAGCCGCGCTATCTATAGGTTAAAGAGTGACGTCACAGTTAACCGACACATGACATTCGATTCGGACATGATGACACAACATTCCTTCCCCTTTAGAAAGTTTGTGGAGTCTACGGCTTGTAGCGCTCTGGGGGTCGGCTTGGCCGTGTGCTGCGCCGAGGCAAGAGTGGAGAAGCCGGCGGAGCTTCCAGTCTGGAGGCCCGGTTGTCCGATGGTGGGGCATTGGGACCAACAGTCACAGCACTGGGCATGCTGCGGCCTGGGTCAGGTGCCCGTGGTGTCGCGGCTCCGTTCTCTGCTTGTGCCGGGTCATGGTCGTCAGGTGATTCATTGTCAGTTGTAGCCGTATCGGTCTCGATGTCCGAAAACTGCTCCAGTCTGTTAGGTGTCCTCAGGTCAGCCTGAAATGATCTTGGCCGCAGGTTGTCAGCATGAATGTACCGCTCTTCCCCCCCAACCCAAACCAGATACGTAGCTGGGCTCACACGCTTGCTTATTGTGCCCGTCAGCCATTTGGAATCTCCGGCCCGTAAGCCTTTTATCATAACTTGGTCACCCTCAGAGAACTCTCTCCAGGACCCCCGGTGCTGGTCTGCGTATTCTTTGGTTCGCTCGAGTCTCTTTTTCATTCGTTGCTCTATGTCGGGGTGCAGCAGACTCAGTCTTGTTCTGGGCCTCCAGGACAGGAACAGCTGGGCCGGAGTTTCATCGGTTGTCCCGGTGGGTGTGTTCCTGTAACTAAATAGGAACTGATCGACGCGATGTTGCAGAGACTTCCCAAGTAGCACAAAATGTGGTCCACGCAGAGCGAGCTTGGTTTTGTTCTGACCACTTCTGTCGACTGCTCTTTGGCGAGAAGTGAACAAGGACTAAATATGTGCGAGATTATACTCGTTTAATTTTTATTGCGAGCGAAGCAGAAGCACACGAGTGACGCAGCGATTTTACTCCTTTTATTTTAATTGCTAGCGAAGCAGAAGCACACGAGTGACGGACAGCCACCCGTGCACTGGAAATCTCGTTCAGCAACAGTAGTATGCGCTATCATCACTCACTCACTCGTCCACGCGCCTCGCTTCTTTTCGTCTTTTACGGCAGTAACCGTTCATGGCCCTTCCGGCCCTTGATTTTGAGTGGGATGCGGAGTGCGTCCGTGTATCCGTGGCCCTTGACGCTGGATCTTCTTCCTACCTGGCCTTATCCTCACTCCACTTTTCTTTCATCTCGTACCATCTCTCCTATGTTGCCTTTCCTTTTCTTTCCCCCCTCACTTTCTCGCTCCCCCTCGCTCCCCCTCCCCTACCTCCATAGAATTATATGTTCGTAGCTTCTGACCTTTGATTTCGACTTTGGACCCTTGGGTGCTGCTCCTCGCCATCTCTCCTTCTATCTATCTCCTCGGTCTCCTCTTCCCTCCCTCCCCTCTTCCTCCACCCTCCCGTCCATCTTTCTCTTTTTTCCCGCTATCCATCCACCTCACCTTTCCTCCCCTCTTCCCCCTTCTCTCTCGCTTGAGTGATTCTGTGTTCATGGCCTTTGATCTTTGCTTTTATGGTGGTCGCTGGATATAGCTCTTCATTTTAAGTGGTCGGGGAAGTATGATCTTGTGTCCGTGCAACCGTGGCCTATGACCTTCGACTTTGTACCACAAGCTACTGGACCACCCCTTCTTGCTCGCTCTTTTATCTGGCCCCACCCCTTCCCCATCTCCTCATTCCCTCCACTCCTTCCTCTCCCCCATTGGTCTCATCTTCCCTCTGTGTGCTCTTCCTCCCCTCTTGCCTCTCTACTCCGTCCGATCTCGCTCCTCCCTGCCCAACTTCTCTTCATCTTTCTCTCCCTTCATGCTCCCTCAGCCATTTCATCCTCAGTCCCCTCTCCCTTCCGCCTCTTCTCTTCCTTGTGTGAGCATGTGCTTTTGGCCTTCGACCTTCATACTTGACCTCTTTCTTCCCATCTCCTCGCTCACCTTCCCTCTGGACCGTCTCCCTTTTCCCCTCCTCTGTCTATGAGACGATGGCTACCACCGGTCATCTCACTTGCAGTATATGTTGCAATGAGCCGCCACTTTTTTAGTTTTCCGAAGAAACAGAGCGGTGGCCTATAAATTGGACTGAAAAATGAGCTTCCGCATGTAACTATTTCAAATTTTCAACCAGGGTGTATTTTATACTGCATGCTCCAAGATTTCTCTTAATCTCTATGGCAAGCACTGACGCAGACAACCAAGACGGCGAGAGTAAGAACCACCCAATCGCTCGATTTGAGTCGAGTCCATTGCGAAATTATTCCTTGCTTCTATTTTAAATAGTAGAAATATTTTCGCAGGAAGCTCGGGTCGGATAGAGCATTCAGTCGACCTCAAGAACTCTCTGCGACTTGGTAGTAGGGTAATCATGTTAATATTTTTTACAGAAACAGAGCTACGCTTCAAAAGTTAACGTAATAGAGCACACCACTAAAGTACACCTTTGGTGATAATTTCAGCTAGCTCAGGTTCCAGTTTAATTTACAGGCTATCACTCGCGTGCCATCCTATACATGTTTGGGAGGTCTTTGGGTCGTCACGTCACTAGCATGAGTTTTCCGCCTTCGATAACACAATAACGCCCTATGACTTCACTCTCTTGTTATCTTTAGCATGCGTTCCAGACGCTGGGCATCCGAATGATCCTAACCTAAGAAGCAATGATAAGGGTGCATGTTAGCTTGTGAATATTGAGCAGACTCGCCAACTCGCCCTTACAAAAATGATAAATGAGTTTCAATTGAAGTCCTAATGTGTTCTTATAGAATGCGCAAACTCAATAGAAACTCATTGATAATTTTTGTAAGGGCGAGACAGGTTAAGGGGCAGGAAGGAAGCCAGCTCAAACAGGCAAGTCTCAACAGACTTCTCGACAAGGCCTCTGTTGGTGTGTGTTTTGTTCATAGTATGACAAAAACCACAGTAGGGTGCCTTAGTGTGTTTGCATCTGCTTTAGTGTGGCTACAACAAACCATTTTGTTCACCTTCATCCTCGAGTTGAGGCTCACTGAACAATCCTATGGCAACGAAATGTAAGCCATGTTCATTATAAGTTTGCCAGCCTTGCATTACCACTTAGCCCATTATATTAAACTTGATTGTAAATTGTGCAAGCAAATGCCACACACACAAATGAATTCAATTTTATTATAAACCTTTTGGACAGATTTTCTTTTAGTTTTCTGCAATTTGTTTAGAGTACATTTTGAACACTTGTTTCAAATACGCCATTCACAAGCATTAGGGTGGTCTTTCTGTTTGTATAAAAATAAAAATGTTTGACCAAGAAAATCTATTGAACTATTCAAAGTTTAGTGTCTTCGTGTATCCTTCACCAGTCTTTGTGTGATGTGGTGATGTGTCACATTTCGTCACATAAGGCCAACGTCGCTGCAAAACATTGCCCTTATGTCAGGGTAGAAATGTTACCAAGAGGTTATTTCTAAACGTTACTCCAATGTTGCTTCTCTAACATTCCTGGAACGTTTGCCTATGTAATGACACGTTGCACGACGTTCAGTGACAGTGAAACAATGTTACAGGTGAACGTACCTGTTACGTTAGTTTTCTAACGTTGCTGTAACATACCCAAATGTGCCCCAACGTTACTTTACATTTGTGACATTCCAGTAACGTTATGGCAACATATGGTGCTACTAGGGTTCGCATGGCCGCTTCTCTGCTCGTCCAGCACTTGTTTAAACAAAGCCTTTTTCACGGTTTGTACGCAGCGTTCCGCGCTGCCATTGGAGGCGGGATGGTAGGGCGGAGACTTGCTGTGTAGGACGCCATTCCTACTCAAAAAGAGTTCGAAATCTGCTGATGTGAATTGAGGCCCATTATCGGTCACTACCTCTTCCGGTAGCCCGTATGCCGCAAACACACTGCGCAGTTTTTCCACGGTCTTCTCACTACTAGTACTGTTCATCACAAACACTTCAATCCATTTAGAATGGGCGTCCACCAGCACAAGAAACCATTGCTGATCGCGATACGCATAGTCTATATGCACTCTCTCCCATCTACGCTTAGGCCAACCCCACGACAACAAGGGTACCTTGGGCGCAGCGTTTTGCGACAGCTGACACGTGACGCACTGTTTCACTGTTTGCTCTACATCTTGTGTTAGACGAGGCCACCAAACGTGGCACCTGGACAACATTTTCATTCGCGTCATCCCCGGATGACCTTCGTGCAGCATCGTCAAGACGCTACTTCTGAGTGACAACGGAACCACTACGCGATTACCCCAAGTTGCACAATCTTGATCGACTGACAGTTCGTTACGTCGAACATAGTAAGGCGCTAGCAAATCGTCTGTAACTTTCGAAGGCCAGCCGTTTTGTGTGTAGAACAGCACTTTCGACAACAACTGATCCCTTCGCGTTTCCCGTCTTATCTCTTTTGCAGATAGCGGAGCTTCGTCTAGCGCCGAAAAGAACTGCACGCACTCTGACTCATCTTTGTTTGGAAGCGGTAGCCGTGAAAGCGCGTCGGCATTTCCTATATCACTGGATTTTCGATACACCCAAACATAGTTATAAGCGGCAAGCAGTAAGGCCCAGCGCTGCACGCGTGCTGCTGACATTGCAGGAATCGGCTTACCATGCCCCAGAATTCCCACCAGTGGTTGATGGTCAGAGTAGATGCAAAATTTTCGGCCGAAGAGGAACTTGTGAAATTTTTTTAAACCAAAAACCACTGCAAGCGCCTCTTTTTCAATGTGCGCGTAGCCTTGCTCCGCCTTGCAGAGCGTCCTAGACGCGAAAGCGATGGGCCTCTCCTCAGTACCAACTTTATGAAAGAGTATCGCGCCGACGCCGTATGCCGACGCGTCACATACAAGACCGAGGTCCTTTTCAGGATCGTAGTAAGTCAACACTCGTTCGTGCGTCAGCCACCGTTTTGTTTCTTGAAACACTTTTTCCTCCACTACGGTCCAATCCCAACTGGTGCTGTCACTTAGTAACTGGTGAAGTGGCTTCAGCTCTGCTGACATGTTCGGAACAAATTTCCCGTAGAAATTTAGCAGCCCCAGGTACGCTCGCAGCTCTTGTTTGTTCTGGGGTTTTGGCGCCTCTTTGATTGCGCGTAGGTTTTCCTCGGAAGGCCGAATCCCATGTTTATCAATTACGTGGCCCAAGTAAGCCACCGACGTCTGAAGAAACTTGCATTTTTCTTTTTTTACTTTGATACCGTGCTCCTTGAACCTTGTCAGCACGCTTTCCACTTTTCGATAACATTCTTCCGAAGTTTCTCCGGCTATCAACACATCGTCAAGATAGCATGATACTCTGTCAAGGCCCTTCAATATTTCGTCCATTACAGCCTGAAAAATAGACGGTGCACTCGTGATGCCGTATGGAAGGCGTGTATACTTAAACAAGCCCATATGCGTGTTCACAGTTACAAGAGACTGCGAATCCGGGTGCAGTTGCAGCTGCTGGTACGCTGTAGAAAGATCAAGTACCGTGAAATATTTGCACCCGTGTAGCGTTGCAAACACGTCTTCCATTACCGGCAAGGGATAGTGGTCTGTTCTGAGATTCGGGTTCAGCGTCACTTTATAGTCGCCGCACAACCTCACTTTGTTGTTCGGCTTAGGGACAACGACCAACGGTGTTGCCCACTCACTCTGCTGAACAGGGACCAGGACCCCCGTTTTCACGAGCGCATGCAACTCTTGTTCTACTGACTCTCTTAAAGCGAATGGTACAGTTCTATGTTTACAAAAGACTGGGGTCGTGTCGTCCTTCAATACTAATTTAACTTGACTGCCCGCGATTAATCCCAGCTCAGGCTCAAACACCTGCGAGAATCGGTCAACCAGACCTGCCACTTGGTCTAGACTAACCCCATACACGCTCATCCAGTCTAGCCTCAACGCTTCTAGCCAATCGCGGCCCATTAACACAGTCTCACATTTCTGCGGCGTGCGAACCACTACAAGCGACAACGTCATGGTCTGCCCATTGTGCTCCACAGGTACAATCAACTTGCCAATTACCTCCAAAGGCACGCCCCCATAAGTTTTCAACTTTAGGCGGCAGTTTGAGAGAGACAATCCAGGCCAGTACTGCTTATACACCTCTTCAGGCACAATGGAAACCGAGGCTCCTGTATCAACTTGCATTGTCACCATTGTTCCCGCCACTCGAACTTCAGTAGTGTAACCCCCTTTTCTAGCACTGCAGGAGCCAATGTTGTACAGCCAAACTTTTTCCTCACCACTACTGTCGTCCACGGCTTGCACCAAACGGGACGTTGCTTTGCAGGCCCTTGCCAAGTGTCCCACTCGTCTACACGCTCGGCACTTGTACTTCCGAAACGGGCAACTTGACTCGTGATGGGGTGCTCCGCAGCGGAAACAGCCTGACGCCTCGGGCCTCTCAGTGTTGACTTCCATCGTCGCCTTCCTGGTAGCCGCTCCGACGTTCCTGTCTGGGCCTAGACGTTGGACGGCGTTCACCTCTAGTTGTTCAGAGGCTGCTGGCTGAAATATCTTGGTCTCTGCTCGTGCGAGCTCAATGCTTCTGGCAATGTCGCATGCCGCCGAAAAAGTTAGAGTTTTCTTTTTTAGAAGCTCTGCTTGGGCTGCCTGGTCCTTTAGCCCCGCGACAAAACGGTCCCGGAGTGCTTCATCCAGGAACTGCCCGAACTCGCAGGTGGCCGCGAGCCTTTTTAACTCAACCGTGTATGTCGCCACCGTTTCCTTCTCGAGCTGGGCCCTCCGGTTGAATCTGAATCGCTCGGCGATTACCATCGGCTTCGGAGCGTAATGCTCCCTGAGGACCGCGACCAGATGCGCATAGTCCTTTTGTTCTGGCTTCACTGGTGTTAACAGCGTCTTCAACGTGCGGTACGCTTGCTTCCCGATGGCCGTTACGAAGACCGAGACTTTCAAGTCGTCGCTCACCTTCGTTGCTCGAAGATAGTGTTCCATCCGCTCGACGTACGACTCGAAGTCTTCCTCCCCATCTTCGATGAACTGCTCGAACCGGCCGCCGCACGAAGCCATCCCGTGGTCCTCGGTCAAGGCGCTTGGGTTTTTGCCGATGACAGTGCTGGCTTCTGTCTTCTCGGCTATCTCATCCTCGTCGCCACTGTTTTAGCCTCTAGGGAAGTACTCAGTTTCTGCAGCTTGCATGTTTATTCGATGATGCCAAGAATACAACAAACCCGTAGGCACACTCATGGCTGCTTTTATACTGATAGCAGCCGCGCTATCTATAGGTTAAAGAGTGACGTCACAGTTAACCGACACATGACATTCGATTCGGACATGATGACACAACAGTCGCCGTCAACGGGTACACTCTTAGAAAAAAGGGTCAGTATAGTCCTCCCTAAAGGGAGGAACGCCCTTGACACATATGTTCCTTCAGAAAGGGAGAAACTTTCGTCCCTTAAGCAGGGGAGGAAAAGTTCCTCCGTCGACTGCATCTCATTATGGCGGCCACGAATCGAGCAAATCGAGCTCGGTAAGGCTTAACGAGAACACTAAGTCTATTGCACGAAGCGAGAGGAGCAGGAAATAAAAACGTAACACGAGCTTTCCGCGAACTGTATTTATTTCCGAAGTTTCTTTACCCCTGCAGGTAAAGAAACTTACGTTTCGAAAGCATGCAGTCACTCAGTCTTCTCATCGTCAGCACTGCGATGTTCAACGGAGACAACCGGCACTCAGTTCGCGCACTTTATGTCCTACCTTTGCTATTCCTCGAGCCACAATTCCTTCGTCAACCGTAGCGTCAACCGCACATCACGGAGGAGTGAAAATCATTCGCCCGCAAAACCAAAAGCCGCTCTCAAAAAAAAGCAAATCCGAAGCAACCTCTTCGCTTATCTCAGCACGGTAACACGAAATTATGGCGTAGCCGCGTAGCGTAAAAGGATGTTAAATCGCTTGCCACCAGATGGCAGGGTCAAGCAGAGTAATCGCACGTAGCTAGGCTAGGTGGCGCTAGGTACCGCCCAATTCATGTTTTACAAAAAAATATTTTTATTTTCTTACGCTACAATTGCGTTTCCTTTTCTTCGGAATCTCTAACACATGTAGACACGTTGCGCACAGTACAAACATCAGGTCAACATATATTGAACGCATACACAGGCATCGCACATACAGACATCAATACAACAGCACACTACCCCGATCACTACTACCGAGCCCTGCGTTTCCGTCTTTTATAGTGGTCGTTTTGAACAAGGAGGTTCTATAGAAGTTGTTTATAACCTCCTTGGTTTTGAACGTACGGAATTTTTCGGTGACTCCCTAAGCAAAAAAAAAAATATTCCGAACATGTTCATTTTTTTCCAGCAATGTCATACATCTGAGGCTATTTTTAATGGCTCAGGGGATGAATCTCTTATTAAAAAGAAGACGCTCGATCATGCCATAATTATTTGAAAGCCAATAAATCGAGCCGCTCCAATGTGGTTGCAAGCCATGAGTTTGTTTTCCCGCATGGCCCTTCGTAGCTAGTATTTATATTGTAGTGTTCGTTTTTCTTTTTGTGCTGTTCGCGCAAAGCTGCAATTGCCGTCTAGAATTAATCTCTGTAGATCGGATATCCACTCAGCTGGAAGTGATGCTTCACGGGCACGGAAATCGCTTTTCGATCAACTTGAATGCAGTCAAAGCCGCGACTTCCGACAACTGTTAAGTGTACGGAGCTGCGCCGTTGCGAGCTCGAAAACTTCTAGCGCTCATCCCAGCGCGCCACTTAGAGGGCAGTTTCTACAGGAACCGTAATATATTTAAACAGTAAAATAAAGGATAGCGTTTTTTTTTTTTCGATTTTGCCTGTCTTTTTTTTTTTTATGCTAAACTTCCATTATAAATATACGTAGTTTCCGTCATACTTTCGTAGTGTTGTCTTTTCCCCAGAGCGCAATCGCTCTCGGGGACCGACAGTCACATTGGCCACTGTACGATAGGAGCTTACCGTTCAGACCAGCGTTCCAACATGACTATCCACACGTCGATCGACTGCACCTAATCCCTCAAGTGGTTTTAAACTCTTTAATGTAAAGCGGAATGTCATCCTGCGACACCCCGGCCCCTCCGATAACGGCCGGACTAGCGGCATCAATGCCCGACAGTTTACGTCATCTCATCTTGTTGTTACACCACTGATACGCGAACACACGGTCACATCGGCGATAATTCCAGTCTTCTGTTCACAACCCACAACACTGCCATCACGATGTCGCTGACACGAAGAAATACAGAACCACGTTGACGATGTTGCTGACACGCAGAAGAATCACGTTGAACGACGGTTGGCACTCGGCACGGGACAACGGAACCGAACTCAGCACGGAAGGCACCCAGGCAGCCGGCAGGAAAACCTGCCTTCCTTGGACGCAGTTCCCGCGATTTCCATAACGTCGAAAACGTCGACACAGTTCCTCGTGGTTTCGCTGCTGTAGTTCCGCGTGTGTCCCGCAAATTGGAGACGGCCGTCTTACCCAGTGTATGTAGCACTGCTGGCACTGCTCCGGAACTTCGCTATTTCTAGCGGCAGCTCATTTGATAAAATTAGTGGTAAAAACGTCAATGCAACCGAAATGTTCTGCACGTTTGGACTAGAAGACGGAATTACAGGCGGCCTTCGCTGCCGCCGAAGCTCAATCAACTCAACATTAATTTATTAAACAACGTGCGCGATGTGCTCGAAAAACGAAACCGAAAGAAGATGAGTCGGGAGGGCGAAAGCTTTCTCCGGTCTGCCTGGAGGAGGAAAACGTCTCGGAGAATAATGACTTTAATTTTCCTTTCATCGGTCTGGGTTTGTTTATGTGTGTTTTGGTAAACAAAAATAAAACAAAAAACTTTACAAAAAACAAACAAAAAAAAACCCACTTTCCTTGGGATCGAACCGTTGACCACTTGGTCAGTAGCGCGATGTTCTACCCCTGCGCCAACTGAACAAGGAGGAACTCGCCCTCCTCCGTTCATCTGAACTGCCGTTCCTCCCTTCTCTGGGCAACTTGTCCGCCACAAGGAGGAACAGTCGCTTTTGCTACCTTTCTCCTCCCTTTTTTCTTAGAGTGTACGACGTCGACTTCAAAGTGGACTCCGGAGCCGAAGTCACGGTGGTGCCAAGCACGTTTCCCGGAGCACCTCGCAGTCTCCAAGAGCCTGAAGGGCAACTCACTGGACCGGGCAATCACCCATTGACAGTTCTCGGTACCTTCCAAGCCACATTGACTTGGAAAGGCAAGTCGGTAGTGGAGCGGGTTTACGTCCTGCCGTCGCAAGACCCGCCTCTTTTGGGGTTTCCTGCCATTCAGAAGCTGGGTGTCGTGAAGTTCGTTGACGCCCTCTCCAGTCTCAACCAGCAGAGCCCTCTTCACAGCGACATCTTCGAAGGGTTGGGTGAGCTGAAGGACGAGTATGTGATTCGACTCCAGCCAGGAGCACAGCCGTTCTCCCTCAGCGTTCCTCGCCGCATTCCGATCCCCCTTCATAACATTGTCCGCGAAGAACTGGATAAGCTAGAAGCTGACGGTGTGATCCGTAAAGTCGACGATCCGACGGACTGGTGTTCTGGTATCGTTGTCGTCCCCAAGTCCTCTGGAGGTTACCGGATCTGTGTCGATCTCACACGCCTTAACCAGGTGGTCCAGCGGGAGCGTCACGTCCTCCCATCGGTGGAGCACATCCTGGGACGTCTGGGTCCTGCACGGATCTTTTCCAAGCTCGACGCTACAGCCAGTTTGCACCAGATCAAGCTATCTGCCGAAAGCCAGCTCCTCACGACCTTCATCACCCCGTTCGGCAGATACTGTTTCTGTCGCCTTCCTTATGGAATTTGCTCCGCTCCGGAGTATTTCCAACGTCAAATGGGGAGGATCCTGGAGGGTCTCGACGGAGTAGTCCACATGATCGATGACATTTTGGTTTTCGGACGCACCCAAGAGGAACATGACCGGCGTCTTGCAACAGTGTTGGGTCGCCTGAGCAGTGCCGGAGTGAAACTGAACAGGGCCAAGTGCGTCTTTTCAGCGTCCACTGTTAGGTTCTTGGGAGTCACAGTCAGTGCAGACGGTATCAGCCCCGATCCAGACAAGGTCCAGGCTCTGGTCAACTTGGAGGCCCCAGCGGACGTCAGTGGTGTCAGGAGACTTCTCGGCATGGCTAATCACGTAGGCCGTTTTCTTCCTCACCTGTCCGACGTGACTACGCCGATTCGTGCTCTTCTCCAAAAGAACAGTGCATGGTGTTGGGGGCCCAGTCAGCAGTCTGCCTTTGATCGTCTTAAGGGCATGTCGAGCTCCAAGGTCTGCATGGCCAGGTACGACCCTTCGTACCATACCACAGTGTCGGCTGATGCAAGTTCGTATGGACTGGGAGCCGTTCTGCTACAGGACCAACCATCGGGAGAGCGTCGTGCCGTTGCCTACGCTTCGCGACCTCTTACACCGACAGAAACCCGGTATAGCCAGACGGAGAAAGAGGCTCTGGCCGTCACATGGGCCGTTGAAAGATTCGACCAGTTCGTCCGTGGCATCAGGTTTGATGTCGAAACAGATCATCGACCCCTCGTCATTCTGTTGGGATCTGCGGAACTGGACGCTATCCCTCCTCGCATTCAGCGCCTGAGGATGCGGCTTATGGCCTACCAGTATAACGTTCTCTATGTACCGGGGAAGCTCCTGGCGACAGCAGACACCCTTTCCCGAGCTCCTGTACAGGCTGCCGACAACAAAGTAGACACCGTCGAGCTCTTCGTTGGGTCACTGCTCAAGGACATCGAAAGTCTTGCATCCACTCGCCTCGATCGCCTTCGCCAGCACCAAGCAGAGGATGGAGTCTGTGCCGGCCTACTCAGATTCTGCAAGGATGGGTGGCCCAAGAAGGTGTCCAACGTTCCAGTTCATCTTAGGGCTTTCTGGAAGGAGCGAGGCAACATCACAGCCTTCGAGGGCCTGTTGCTGAAGGACTGTCGCATCGTGGTTCCTCAGACCCTTCAGAAGGAGATGCTAACATTACTCCACGAGGGCCACCAAGGCGTGG